TTATTATTGTTAAAAGGGTTAAAAGATAGTTTCTTGTTATATAATTATTGTAGAAACTGATCCTTTTATCATTATAAGTTTTTTTTAGCTCTGAAATAATTTGAAAAAAGCTAATGATTTTTTTTAAAATAATATTATATACTAATCTTAGTATATCAATATATGTTGATATAAATTTTAAATAATATCAGTTTATACTTTTTTAATATGCCAACAAAAAAATCACCAAGATATCTATACTTATCAATTTTAATAAGTATGCATGATATATAGATATTATGGATAAATTTTATATGTACAATTTTACAAGAACTACAAAATTTAAAATAACTTTTAAAATTCATATTGAAGAGCAGCAGTTACATTGTTGATAATTTGGTGAGATAAAAAAAATAATGCAGCGGTTTATGTCTAATCACCTACTTATTTCCGGGTGAAGGCTTTGGTTACATTAAGTTCTGTTAGGTGAGTTTGGTATGTATTAACTACGCTACTGATCAGTTAATTTTTACAATCTGATCGACCTTTCCCAACCTTCCTCAACCCTTCTCAACCTTGCCCAGCTTTTTCAATCTTTCCCAATCTTTCTCATATAGAATTAAAAACTTTTTTTTCTCTCTAAAGGTCATTTTACAACAATATTTTTCAAGAGAGAGCCTGGATGTATAGAAGACATGACACGTTGACTAATAACGTATCAGATGAGTTCCTCAATGGCTTAGAATCATTTCTAAGTTTTGCTCAAAATCAACCTTCGTACAAAGATAGAGGTGATTTATTGTGTCCATGTTCGAAGTGTTTAAATCGAAAACGATTAGACGCAAATACGGTGGGGAATCATTTATATGCAAAGGGATTTATGGATTTCTATTTTATATGTACGAGTAATGGAGAAGAGTGTGACTACGGAGCATCAACAAGCAACGTTCATGATCATGTTGATGAAGTTGGCGTGGATTCTGCCGGGGGGAACATGGTTCAAGACGAATTTCCTGAAGCAAGTATACCACAAGTTGGATCTGAGAATGTTTTTGAGGAGGTAAGTGATGATTCAGGCATATTTTTTTAAGAGATTACAGGATGCACAACAACCAATTTATGAGGTTTGTGCAGAAGGGCTTTCTGGACTATCGTTGTCTTCACGACTTATGATTATAAAGACTGATCATAATTTGCCTGAGGTGTGCATGGATGCAATTTGTGAGGCGTTCATCGATTATCTGCCAGCAAATAATAGAGCTCCAAGATCCTACTATGAGATGAAGAAGCTGACACGATCTATGGGATTGCCTATGCACAAGATAGATGTTTGTCAGGATAATTGCATGCTGTTTTGGAAAAGCAATGAGAATTTAGTGAAATGCTGTTTCTGTGGAAAATATAGGTATAAACAAAAACCAGAAGGTGGAGGAAAGAATATCCCTAATCAGAGGATGTTTTATATTCCTATTGCGGATAGGTTAAAGCGTTTATATCAATCCGAGAAGACTGCATCATACATGAGATGGCACGCAGAACATTTATCTCCCGAAGGCGAGATGCATCATCCATCAGATGGGGAATCGTGGAAACATTTCCATCAGGTATATCCTCAATATGCTTTAGAACATAGAAATGTTTATCTCGCGCTATCAACAGATGGTTTAACCCTAGAGGAATGCATAGTCGAGATCATTATGTGTGGCCTGTTATAGTTACGCCATACAATTTGCCACCAGATATGTGCATGAAGAGAGAAAATTTGTTTCTCTCGATTTTAGTTCCCGGCCCAAAGCATCCCAAGAAAAGTCTAGATATTTACTTGCAACCGCTGATTGATGAATTGAAAGATTTGTGGATAAACGGCGTACAAGCTTATGATGTGTCGAAGAAACAGAATTTTGTGATGCGGGTAGTCTTAATGTGGACAATAAGTGATTTTCCAGCTTATGGTATTCTTTCTGGGTGGATGACACATGGGTGACTTGCTTGCCCGTATTGTCTAGATGAAACACAATCTTTCTGGTTGAAACATGGGAGGAAACATAGTTGGTTTGATTGTCGCAGGAGATTTTTGCATAAAGATCATACCTACCGAAAAATGTGAGGAGTTTCACGAAAAAAAGCAATTAGTGAAATTTCACCTCCATTTTTAAGTGGTGAAGAAGTGCTTTACGAGAGAACCAACCAGATCGAAGGGGTATTGAGATCTGTTGATTGTGGAGAGAATGGACATATACCTCGTATGATTAGTGGTTATGGTGATTATCATAATTGGATAAAGAAAAGTATTTTTTGGGAGTTACCGTACTAGGAAAATCAGTTGCTTCGACATAATCTCGATGTTATGCATATCAAGAAGAATTTTTTCGATAATATCATGAATACGGCATTGAATGTGCCTGGCAAGATGAAAGATAATATGAAGACATGATTAGACTGACCTACAATGTGCAATAGAAAATGATTAGAGATAACAGAAGATGGAAAAACACCAATTCCAACTTTTAGATTATCTAATGAAGCACGGAAAGTCTTCCTCCGATGGTTAAAGCGAGAAATTAAATTCCCTGATGGGTATGTTGCTGATATATCAGCTTGTGTGGATGAAGAAAATTGGAGACTTGCAAATTTAAAAAGTCACGACTGCCATGTTATTATGCAACGTCTACTCCCGATAGCATTTTCAGAATTACTTCCACGAGATGTTCATACAGCAATATCAGGTACTTACTATATTTATATATTTTAGTTTAATCTATTTAAATAAGTAAGCATATCGATATAGTTATACCTTAATTCAAAGACTCTCTATATTTCTTTTATATTAAAAGCCCTATAGTTAGCTTAATTTCTTTTCACATGTTTTCATTTACAACAATTCATCGTACTTTTATTTGACTTTACTTGAATGATTTAAACAAATTTGACTTTTTATTTGATTATACTTGTTCATATTGACTTTACTTGTTGTTAGACGCTTTGGCAAATGCGACTTAATTTCATTGTCTATTACTAATTGGTTAATAATTTTTACTAACACTCATTTTTACAGATATAGCGCTATTCTTCAGAGATATTTGTGGAATGGCTTTGAAAACAAGCGATGTCGAAGTTATGAAAGCTAATATTTCTCTGAAGATTTGCAATCTAGAAAAAAATTTCCCTCCTTCTTTTTTTGACGTGATGGAATATTTACCAGTCCATCTACCAAACGAGGCTGCATTAGGAGGGCCTGTTCAATTCAGATGGATGTATCCATTTGAACGGTATATGCCTCATTTGAAAATGAAAGCAAAAAACAAAGCAAAGATTGGAGGATCGATAGTTGCTCAATGTATCACTGAAGAAATCTCCCATTTTTGTTCTTACTATTTTGCAGCAGATGGTCAAGGTTCACATAATCCTCACACAACTGATGGTAAAATTCAGTTCACGTACAATTATCCAGGTGGTCCTACTATATTTCAACCTAATGGAAGAGTAAGTAGAAAATCCAAGGAAGGATGGTTAACAGAAGAAGATGCTCAGATCTTACATACATTTCTTTTGCTCAACTGTGAAGAGATAGAGCCATACGAAAGGTAAATATAAAATCAAAATAAATTTTAAAATTACTATTGAATACAACTAATCATTTTGTAATATTATATATGTAGGTTGTTTGAAGAATATATGTGTATACACCAACCAGGCATTACAGATAGCGAATTGATATTGGCTAAAGAAAAACATTTTGCATTGTGGTGTAGAGATCACGTAAGTTTTATCTATACTCTTGTATAATTAATTTGAATTCACGTAAGTTTTATCTATACTCTTGTATAATTAATTTGAATCATGTTCTTTAACTACATATAATTATACCAAATTCTAATTAATTGCAGATAAATGATCTAGAACATAAGGATTCAAGTAGTTGTGTTCCTTTGTGGTTGCTTGAGTTTGTCCAGGGACCAAAGCAGCATTATACATCATGGCCGATGTTTTTCTCAAGAGGGTATAAGTTTCACACATATGACCATGGGCAACATAAGAGAACGATGAATTATGGAGTTTGTGTTCGAGGTTCAGCGGATTCAGAGTTCTACGGTCTTATAAATGAGATATTTATGATTGAATATCATGGTGCTGTTCAGCTTAAAACTATAGTTTTCCGGTGTGCGTGGTTTGATCAAACACCCGGACGAGGAATGCGGAGGCACCCTTCAGGCATTGTTGATATATGCCCGAGGAGACACTACCAAAAGTATGATCCTTTCATTGTTACTGATCAAGCAGACCAAGCCTGCTTTGTCCCTTATCCTCGTATTAAACAATGGAATGAAGAATGGTGGGTTTGTGCAAAAGTAATCCCTCGTGGTGTTAGATCCACTTCTCTGCAACTTGTCGACTCGGCTTTACAAGATGATAGTTACAATCAAATTGTCGTGCCTGCAGACCTATTACATGTGACTGACCATGCAGTCAATGCTGAGTTTGACGATGAGATGGAGCTGGACGATCCAATAACAGATGAAGAACCTTCTATAGAAGATCACTATGAAACTTCAAGCGAAGGTTCTTATGATGAGTCTTGATAACTTTTGATGTGTACGCAAATTTCTATATATTTTGGAGTTTAGATTTTCTAGTTATATATAATGATTAATGAAGTTTGGATATTAGACTATAATAAATTTTAAAACTAAGAAATCAAAACGTACATGAATGTAGTTATATTTGAAAATATTAAAAAAAAAAAAAACCAATCTTGTTGACGAATAACACTTGCATTTTTTGTTATTTGGAAAGTCCGCCAAACTTTTGGAAAGTTTTCGCAAAAATCTGGACCAAAATTTTCAGTTTCCGCCATAATTTTTGGTTTCGGCCAGTATTTTTAGCCAAATTTTGATTTCCTGTCAGTACTGTAAAACCTAAATCCCTAAATCTTCTTTTCCCCCTTCTCTTTGGTGGCTGATTCTTTTCTCTCTCATTCTTTGCGGCTGATTATTTTCCCTCTCCTTCGCAACTCTATAATAATGTCAGTCTCTCCATCTCTCAATCATCCACTTATCTATTTCACAGCAGCTAAAACACAATATTTCAGTCTCTCTTTCTATCTCCTCATCTCTGCTTTTCCCTTCCCTTCAGAGAAGCCACTCATCTTTAAGGTTAGATTCTTATCTAAATCTCTAGTTTGAGTTTTTATGCAATTTGACTTTGGGTAATTGCTGTTTTTTATGCTAAAATTAATTTAGGGTTCAATTCTTCTTTGAATCTCTGCAATTTGTCTGGGAGAAATGATCCTCTTCTTTATTGAATTGAAATTATACTTTAGGTAATAAAGTTTGGGTTTTAGACTATAATAAAATTGATGTTTATACACTGAAATTGATTTATGATTTAGTTCTTAACTCTACGGGGTTCTTTTTTGGCTGAAATCATGTTCTTCAATATTTGATCTGTTACTATTGAAATTGGTTGACTATTTTACTTATTTAGAAAATGATTAGTAAATAGTGCTTCTAATGTATATCAAATCTTGTAGTATGTATCCACCACGTCGCGGCGGATTACCTGCAAGAGGTTATGTTGGTCGAGAGCCCCATGCTCCCTTAAGGGCTGGTAATTCATGTGAACCTCCAGGATTTCCGCTTCGTAGCATCAACGAACTACTACAGGCACCTGCAAGACGTAACCAGCCCACTCTCCATCCCGAGAAGATTGATGGCAGACTTTGGTAAGAGATTATTATGTAAAACGTATATAAAATTTCAACTATGCTACTAGTATTCTCCTTGAATAACTGATATGCTCAAATTAACCCTTAGAGCTACTCTCTCAAATTAAGAGATCACAGTAGTACTTAGGGATCGAATCCACAAGGACTTAGATTGTTGCACACTAGATTCTAGGTTCAAATCAAGCTAAGGAAAACTAAATAAATGTAATGCAAGTAATAAAAATAAAGCAGCAAATCGATTGTGAGGAGGTTTTAAAGCAAAGAGAGAAACGCTAGGCCTTGGGAAATTCGCAGGTGAATCCGAATTGCAAATCTAGACAGAATGTTAGGAGTTTATTAAGTACTGTTCTTGAACTTGAAACACTAATATAAAATCAATCAACTTCTGCTGCAGAGATTATCTATGTCTAAATCCTAGAATCCCAAATTTCTTTGCAAATCCTATTAATTCAAACAAGCATTAAAATCAGGTTCAATTGTTCACAAAATCCTAAACCAAATTCCTTTGCAGATAAGAATTTTGCTCATCTAAGATTAGTTCTGGTGATTAACAATGTTTCCACATCTATTAAACAACCTAAGATCAAATTCTAGGTCATGAAGCTAGAATAAGCATTAAACACAAATCCAGATGAAGAACTCTAATGATTTTATCCTAACAATTCAATTCAACGTAGCAATTCATCATCGCCTTTGAAAAACCCTAAACCTAACAAGCAAACTACTCAGACATGATCAATGAAATAGAAATCATAATTTGAATAGAAAGCATAAGAGAAATCAATAGAAGAAATAAGGGAGTTCAAAATCTTCTCTAAAGGAGAATGATTTATCTCTCCAAAAACTCTCTAAAAATCTCTCTCTTAATCTCTCAATAAAATAAAGCTTAGGTCTAAACAATGACCATAAAAAATCCTTTTATAGACCCAGAACACGATTTGAGGCAAAACTGCAAATATATAAAACTTCTGGGCGAACTTGTAAGTCTTCAGAAATCTTTAAAAACTCGGGCAAGATTTGTGCACTTTTGGTGTCGATCGACACCAAGACCCTAGTGTCGATCGACACGGGATTTGCACGCGCACTGCACAATTTCTGCTCGAGTGTACAATTTTTGCACGATTTGATTTTTTCAGGAACATCTTCTGTTTTGCTCCAGAATGCTCCAATATCTCCAAATAAGCTCCAAACATATCCAAACCTGTAAAGACTCAAAAAGATTCAAAAATAACAAAAAGACTTTATAAACAGGACTTATATCATGGTAAAAAACCCATAAAAACCATGATATATCAATAACTTAATATTCTGCCTTGTTGTGATAGGATTCGATTGACAATGATGTCAAATATGACATTAAAAGAGCTTTCACCAATGATTTTGATGGACCGTGGTGGAATCTTGGTGAGGTTCCACAAGAGCATCAAGACAAATGGTGGTCTGATTTTGTGGTAAGATTTAAATAGTTTATGTTTTTCTTGAACTAGTATTTGTTTTGGCATTGGAAAATTTTTCATTAACGAAAGTGTTCTTCAATCTCGTTTCAGCAAAAATATTACTGGGATTCAGAGCATCATACATTAATGAAGACTCAGTGGACTAAACAACTTCAGAGGATGATCTCAAACAACATCATCAAGGGAAAGAGACTCAACAAAAAACCCAGCTTTGTCTCTGTCACCAATTGGAACTTGATGTGGCGATACTGAGATTCAGATAAGGCAATTCATATTAGCACTACAAATTCAAAAAATCGTAAATCTGACCGTGGTGGAGATGGTATGCATCAACATATTTCTGGTTCAAAATCATACGCCAAGGTCAAGTATGATATGGTAAAAATGATGAGCCCTTTAGTCTTTTTCTGTTTTCTACGTTTCCCTTATTATCAGTTTGACCAAGTCTTTTTCTCTTGTTACCTTAATTGCTTATACTATTTTCAATAACTAATGAGTACAGATGATGGAGCTTGGTGAGGAACCAGCAATCACCGACTTAGTGCGTAAGACACACATGAAAATTGATGGCACTTTCGTAGACAAACGTGCAAAGAAGATTGTCGAAGAAGTTGAGTCCATTGTTGTTTCACACTTTCCCATTAACACTGATGATAATGAGGCTGGCAGCCAAGGGTCCAACTCACCTATTACACCTCTAATGCGTGATGAAGCTTTTTATTCGGTAAATGATGTCAATTTGGATTCTTATACATTACTTTAGTTCTTTATCTTGTAGTAGCACTATTATGCTTACGTTTTGTGATCCATAATTTTGTAGATAGTCAAGGCATACAAAGGAAGGTTTTTTGGACTTGGAACTGCACAGATGGGGCATTATGATCCCATTGATCCACCAACCGTTGTTCTTCCTCGACAAGCTCGTTATGAGAGAGATCTGGTCAATCTGACTGGAGTTGTCAACCTTATGACCCAGCAGCTTACAGCTTTGTGTGAAGCCAGAGGAGTCCTAATGACATCAGTAATTGGGACCGAGCAGCCACCTGAAGCGGCAGCCCCACACCCAGACATCGCTAACTGAAGCAGCAGCTGCTGTTGCATAAGTCTGGATCTAACACTAATGAACATCCAAGGCACGGCGTTAGAAACTTTTTCTTGTTAAAACTTTTGTTTGAACTTCGGTTTGTCTACTAGCGAAAACTAAAGACAAAACAAACAAAATCTTTTGTTTTTCGATTTGAACTTTTGTTATGTCTTTTGTTTTCACTTTTAGATATAAGTTTTTGTTTATCAACTAGATTGTTGATTGTAAAATATTTGGGAATTCAGGATTTCTGGTTATAATATATTTAATATTTTTAAATTGATTTCTATAATTTTATTTATTTATTAAAAACAAAATAATTCAAAAATCATATAAATTATATATTAGCTTAGCAACAAATTATATATAGCAACTTCTCTAGCTAAAGCAACAACTAAATCTGTTGCTAAATGTGTAGCTTTGTTTTTTCTTTTGCAACAGTTTTTATTAAAAGTTTGGTTGTCGTTAAATTTAATATTTAGCCACATATAATCTATAACCAAATTCGTGGCTATATTCGCCACAACTTGCTATGTAAAAACTGTAGCTAACATCTATAGCCATATAGCCACGTAAAATTCTTTTGCTAAATTCGTCACTAAAGAGCAACGAAATAACTCGTAGCTATATCATTGCTATCAGCTACGGTCGAAACTCTTGCTAATTCGTTGCAAGTGGGCTACAAATTTGCTACGGATTGGGAATAGCGTCGAAGCTGAGGCCACAAAATTCATTTGTCGCCATCTGTAGCCTTCCTAATTGTAGCGACAAATTGTCTAGATAGCTAGGGAATAATCGGTAGCTAATTTGATAAATTCTTGTAGTGAGAGTTAAACAACTACTAGATGACTTCTAAGAAATTAAAATGCAAGACTACTAATTTATAAAAATCAAACTTTAAAAGCAGATAAACAGAGAATTTCTAACAACCTAGAACAATTACTTTTAAGACTAAAGATGCAAACTTTATAACTAAGGAATGATGACTTTGAGTTTTTAAATGCTAAAAGAGGATCCAAGGTTGGGGATCATGTTTAAGAAAGGTCAATGTTCAAACTTGGGTTTTGAAAACATAGATCTACACATTTGATGTGCTATCTCTAAACCTTAAGAAGCTTAAGCTAGGCTTATCCATGGCGTATGGTATAACCCCTTTCCTCAACCTTTCCACCTAACCCATGGGCTATAGTGGAAAGATAGGTTGAAGAACATTAAGCATAGATCTCTGATACACAGAGTTTTTGAAGCTCTTGAATGTTTCAATCACCCTTACACTTGTAGTAGTCAGTTGTAGTGTAGTATGGGTTTTATGTCAATCCAATGGGAAGAGTTGAATACAGAAGAGTTGAGAGTAAAATCTCTAAGTCAAGCAATAAGAGAATTGGTTTTGTTGCCTAAGCAACAGTTCTAGCAACCTAAGTGAAACAAGCAACAAAAGAAGTGAAAACAAAGGCAATCTAAGCAGTTATAAGCAAGAAAAACAGAGTAAAACAGAGCAAAACATAGCAAATCCGAGATTCAAATAAGAGAAAGACGAGTCTCTAGATGTGGTTATTGACTTTGGAGAATTTCAGGCATTAACTAAGGCTGTTTCAAACTACATTGATCAAGCAAGCAAGCAAGCAATGGTGATTCCTAGACATAGAGTTCACACTTAAGCTAGTTAGATCCAATCTCTTGGCAAATAACCATTTGTTAAACATTCTAACAAGAACTAACTCGCATTAGTGCTAAAACATCAAGCAAGCATGATTAAACAACTCTATTCAAGTCAAAATGCTCCTCAAATAGTCAATCTCTTGAGCCAAGGCTAGCAAATCCTCTATTAAACATGATCAGCATTTCATCAAACACTTGGTGGGCATAAGAGAAAGCTAACAACTTAGACAAGTTTGATCAAGACTAATCTAGCATGAATAACAGATTAATAGAGAGGAACCCATAGAATGAAGAACATAACAAGCCCTAATCAAGCCTTAAATTTCCCTAATCTACCACATCTAGAAACCCTAAGAAAACTACTCACTCATAATCATTTTTGACACCAAATCACAAAGGAAAATGATGCTAATCATGATTAAAAGAAAGATTAAAGCAAATATTTGATTATATTAAACAAAGCAAAGAAATTGTCTTACAAACTTAAAAGAAAAGCTCAAGAACAATATTTTGACATGACTTGTCGAAAATCTGGAAAAAGAGGCTATTTATAGCCTAGAAAGAAAAACCCTAGAGTAATGGCAAAGTTGTAATTAAAAACAGATTCGGGCTGGGTCAGTATCGGTCAGTCGTGTCGACCTCCAGTGACCGAAATGGGTCCATATCGGTCTTCAGTGATCGACACAAATGACCAAAATTAGTCCGATGTATTTGTGTCGATCACACTTGACCGATACTGGTGACCGAAATGCTCTGTTTCAGTCACTCTTGACCGAAACTCTCCGTGCTCTGACCGAAAACTTCTGCAGAGATCTTCTGCTGCGATCCTTCTTGCCCTCTTTTGCCTAGCTAGCATCTTGCATCATTCCCAACACTCCTCCAAGCTCCTTTAAGCTCCAAAAGCACCTAAAAACATCCAAAATGCAAAGAAAATGCAAACTATACTCTAAATGCAATCTAAGTCTAAAAGGAGAAGAAAATGGGACAAAAGCAAAGGGAAAACATGCAAAAGAGGATCAAAATATGTACTAAATGCAGCCCTAAATAGTGTAAATACAAAGGATATCAACACCCCCACACTTGCCTTTTGCTTGTCCTCAAGCAATCAAGAACAAATGGGAGAGTGAGGTTTGAAAGTGGGCATTCAGATTCCAAAAGTGCAAAGGTAAAGAGATGGTTTTAGTGCTTAAGTGCCTAGTTGTAAGATGCAAACATAATCAGCTGTACTTTAAAGAACCTAGCCATGCTCATCATGTTTCAAAATGATCTCAAATCTCAACTTAGGCAAATGCTCAAATCAATCAACTCTTTAACATTCAATTAAATTCAGAACATGAATCATGCTTATGCAAATCAAGTGAAGACATTTGTTTGAAAAGGGTAAGGTTATGAGATAAGAATGATCTCATTTAAGCACAAAGGTTCAAAAACATAAAGGATCACTCAATGAAATGACTTCATCTTAGGCAAAATGCGAAAGGTAAAAGAACACTTATGCATGCAGTTCAAAGCTCTCTTTTACCCTTACTTCCCAAAGATGAGTCCTAAGCATTTCTAAACCCAAGAGTGAACCCTCTAAGTCTACCCTTACCTAGATTCTAGCCTTTACCCATCTTCATGTGATGAGGACATCGATCCAAGCGATGACATTGGCCAAGTACCCGAAGTTCGTGAGGCTCCCATAACACGTTCAAGGACAAAGCAGCTGAGAAAGAGGTTCAACTTGGCCATAGAAAACATCATTCAGTCACTAGGAACAGAGGAACTCTTGTCACTTGGAACGGGACATGACAGTACGATGGACCGTACTATGGGCCGTAATGACGGTATGGAGGATCGTACCGCGGGTCGTAACGACCTCATAACGGGACGTACCGCGGGTCAGACCGACCAAACCTCCCACGACGACATTATTGAAGGCTTTAACCGTCTTGCCATCCATTCGCCTCGCCAAGGTAAGGTCACTAGCACCCCCACACATACTATACCACCCACTAACCTTACAGGAACATTCACGTCGGATGAGCCCCATACATACCAAAACCGTGTCGCACCAAGTTCAAGGGAAGAGCAGCAAGGAGGCCGAGACGAGTCAAGTGATGTTTACAACCTAGCTACGAGTGAAGATACTTCAAGCTTCAAGAGTCTAGTGCAACAAGAGCTCAAGAACACCTCGACACCTGAGGAAAACATCATCACCACCTACCATGACCGCGGCTACTTCACTAAGGTACTTTCAATTTATAACATCATGCAGGTTGAATGACACGTCCCAGCGGTTCCAAGAAGCTCCCAAAGCACCCACGTTCGAGTCCCAGCTAGAGTCAAGAAGAAGCGGCTTAGTTATTCTTTCTTTCTTTTTTAGTTTAAGAGAACTTTCCTTTTATAGTTTCTTTGCTTTGTACGCTTAGCTTTGTGTCGTTTCTTATGTGTTTTGTTATGATTCTTTTGCGTTTTACTTTGGCCCTAGGGCTAGCTGATAGGACCAGTTTATAAGGTCCCCTTGCAGCCGTGTAATTTGGTGACCTTTTGATTATCAATAAAAACACCGAACTTCTTCAAAGAGTTCTAGAGAGTTTTCTCATCTTTTGCTTGATTCCTTGAGTGGATTCTCTTGAGGTTAAGCTGTGTTGTATCAGAGTCTCATCACAACTCTGTGGTACACTTCGTTCCGCCAACAAATCACGTTTACCTTGATCCCACACGAGAGAGCGACCGCCAACGTGTTAGATCCTCATCAACGACCATCAAACAAGTACGAGAGAGAGCGACCGCCAGCTTGTGCTTCCCATCCTCTTTCCGGTTCATATAAGCCTTCTCCGAGTCTTATATCATCTGGTATCAGAGCCAAAGGTTCCTACCTTTGGTTTTTCTATCCCTTTGCTATTAGATCCGTTTGATAACTGTAGTTATTTCATTGTTTGCTTGTGCTTTGTGCTTTACTCATTCAAAAACCCAGAAGAATTATTCGCTTACTCCTTTATAGTATTTTGCTTTGAAGTTTTAATAATAAAAGAAAACCCCAAAAAGATTAGATCCGATTTGCTTATTGTGTTCTCTTGTTTTGAATTTTTAAAAGAGAAATACCTTTCATAAAAAAACCCATAAAAAGTTTTATTTGTGTTGCTCGCTTTGCTAGTCTTGCCTTTTGATCCATTTATTATTTCTCTAGTCAAGTAATAGCAGTAGTAAGCTTTATCTCCGTTATGTTGGTATCGTGACCGTTTGCTAAGTGTTTGCAAGGAGCAACATCATGACGGATGGAGAGACAAACCCACAAGATGCCATGATGCAAATGTTTGCGGCTCTAAGGGAGGATTTTAGGACCATGACCGAGA